TTCTTGAGAGTAAGGAGTCTCAATTTTTAAAACTTTAGGTCTCTAGAATTTATTAATTGTTTCACAACAATACATGCTTAATAGATGTTTATTTGTTCATTCATTCCTCCCAGTCTTCACTCTTCTGAGATTTTCCTTCAAGTGTTCTTCACTTGACTCTAAGTCCTTTATCATGGTTGTCTGAATGTAGTCTTCTGAAGCTATTAAGCAATAAACAAGCATTTATCAATCATCTACAATGTGCCAAGCATTCTGCTACAGAGTAGAGATAAAAAAGGAGATATCTTTCCTTCTTTTGAGGAGCTCATATCATATTTCATTGGGGGGTAGTGGTAAAATAAAACACTCACAGATGATAAAATGCATTATAAACAAAACACATAATGTATATTTAGCTCAAAAGAAACAGAAGATGCACAAGTTTAGAGAATTCACCCCAAATGTTCATATGAACTATTGGTGCTTGAGGTGTGGTAGAACATTCTGAGCTCATATTAGTCTGATCAGTCACAGTTGGACACACTGTTACTTGACTCAAGCATAATGATGTTATTTTGGTCTCCTTTGAGAATGAAGGACAATAACCAACTCTCTGTGTGTGTGTGTGTTTACATATGTATGTGTGTATATGTATGTATATATGTATATACACATATATACATATATGCATATGTGTATGTATATAATACATTTGAAATTTTAAAAAGAATTAAAATGACAGTCTTACAAAAATAATTCTGACTTTGCAGATCGCCTGAAATGATCTCAGGGACCCTTTAGGGTCTCTGAAGTACATTTGGAGAACTGCTACTAGAAGGGATTCCTATTAAAGGAGCTCCTTTATTTCATAGATTCTGAAACTGAAGCACATAAGCTCCTATTTTTAGATCTGGAAGGAACTTCAGAACACTTAATCCTAATTTCTTACTTTATAGTTGAATCATTAAAAAATATTCCCTGCCTAGGTAGAGGGAAGTCCTGTTAAGGGATCTACCTTTACCTATGTAGTTCACTGATTGTACTGCTACTTAAGAGTCTGAAACACTAAAAGGTTAAATACTTGACCAGGCTCTCACAGTTTGGTTGTATCAGAGACAAGGCTATGTCTTTCTGACTTCAAAGTCTGCTATCTATCCATGATCAATCAATTTTATAATCCAAAGCAAGGTAAACTGAGCTTACAGTGCATTAAACCCCCTGATATTTTCCAGATGAGCTCTTATTAAGCTTTTCATAACTAACCTGTATCTGGGATATAATTTTTCTGAATTCTGTTGAAAGACTTCAAATTTATCCCTAATTAATTTCACCTTATTCAGTCTAACCCAATGTTCTCTCATGTAAAGAAATTTTTATATCAGGATTAGGAAATCATGAATGAATATGGTATATGGTTTATTCTTTTTAGTTTTGTGTCATCTGCAATTTTGATAAGCATGCCACTTATTCTTACTAGTTTTGTGACCTTAGGTGATTCACTTCATCTCCCTGAGTCTCATTTTATTCATCTGTAAAATGAAAAGACAGGACTAGACCTTCTGAAGTTCCTTCCAGCTTTAGAAATCTGAATTTACTTGCTTCAATTTCTTCATCTGCCAAATGAGGGAATGGACCATTTCTTCTAATGCCCTTTTCAGTTATAAATGCATGAATCTACAACTAATGCTTCTATAGAAGTCACTGAAAAAAAAAATGCTATCCAAACCCTGAAGCACTCTACTGGACACCTTCCTCATTTTCAACAAATCATTAAATATTGTTATATGTGTCGAAATTAACAAATTTGAATTCTCTTAAATGCTACTGTCCAGCACATACCTCTCTATCTTAACTATAAGAATAACACGAGAGAGTCTCTCAAATGCCAAAATCAACACCAATGATATGGACAATATTCTCCTGATTTATCAGTATAATAAGCCTGTCAATAAGGGAAGTGTGGTTATTCTGGCATGAGCAGCTCTATTGGCTATAGCTTCTGTACTCCACTTATTTATCTAAAGATAAAATATATTTTTATTCTAATTCAGCATGAAATCTAAAAATGTCAAGGTTTTATCTGGTTGCTCATATCATTCCCCTTTTCTCTTTCTATTCAAAGCCTTTTATTATACTTCCCAATTCATATCTGGAAATTCAGCACCTCATATAAATAAACAACTTAAAACCTTTGTTTCACAAAATTAAGGAAATGCAATATTCTTAGAAAAACTATTTTTTCAACTATTAATCAGTCAAGCAGATGGTTTACAGTAGCACTGAAATAATTAAGCATAACTAACTCTATTGATTTATTTTCTTCTGTAGAATTTCAATTCTATTAACCTGGAAAACTTTACTCAGTGCTATCTCTCTGAACAGCCTATTGATTTTAAACTTATTAACACTTAAAATATATGATAAAAATGCTTTGGTCAAATTTAATCACATTAAGTGTTTGTGAATGTTTAAGAAGCCTGATTGCAAGTAAGTGATTTTTTTCACTAAAGTAAACTGCCCGACTTTTCATTGGATACTGAGAAATTGTTCTTCTGTTTCCTGTATGGAGTTTTATTCTTAACATTTCCTTATTTGAACTCTACCTGGACATTTGTACTATATTTCTGTCTATTCTGCACCATTGGAAATTGAAACCTGTTTATCTCTTCAGATTCCAGTTCTATGCCCGCCTGCCCATGCTGCCTTCTATAATTTTTAGGATTTAATTGATTAATGATAATTGAATTATCATCTATTCACAAAAACTTACTTTTCCAGTTTCATAAGATTATTTAAACAATTTTCAAAATCATTACAGTTTTCTGAAACTACAAAGCAGAAATGGAATAGCCTAGAAGAGAATCACCTTTCCCCATGAGTACAGATAACAGCTGTGTTTATATCCTCATTAGTTCTAAATCCCTGATTAAATATAATCCTATCTGTTCTAAAGTTTAAATGAGGTTGTTTTTTTTTTAACCCCTCCTGAAAGAGAAATACATATTATTTAGGTACTATCTACAATGATATTCCCAAAATACACCTTTGGTTGGAAACAGTGGTAGTAGTAATAATAATAAATTTTGTTATTTATCATTAATACAACAGTAAACAATTATGTAATGGTTAATTATTTACAAAACACTTTACTTACATCATCTCAATTTAGCCATATTGAAGCAGGACTATATTATAGAACACTAATGAAACATTTAAATATTTTCCCCCCATGAATGTATAAAAATGAAGAAAAGAATCCATACACTGCTTTATAGAAAATAATTTGAACTAAAAATATATGACCTCCATTTTCTCCTGGAAAATACATGCAGTTATTCTAAAAATAATCTAAGATCTATTATCAGCTTCTTTTGATACTCCTGTAATCACAATATCACAGATGACCTGTATTAAAATAGTCCCCCCCTTCCCTCCCTCCCTTGTGGATGTTATGAGAATTATCTTATTTCTTTCGTAAGTCCATAGCAGATTGTATTTACTCTTTCTGGTCAAGATTATTCTACAGGTTAATTCTGTAGGGAGGATGGGCTTCTTTAAGGCTGTTTGGAAGAAAAGGAACTTTGTAGGAGGAATTAGACCAGTTGCTTAGGGTGTATCTGAGTAGGAGTAGTCAAAGGATACTATATAAAAGAAAATTAAATTCAGTCTGCCTCACTAGGGGCTTCTGTCAGGGACAGAAAATGAGAATGGAACCTTTAGGAACAAAATTATATGTGAGATGGGTATTCAATGGGATAATGACTGTTGGGGTAGATTGATTGTCCATATAATGATGAGCCCTCAGAAGATCTGGACAGTAAATTAGTGATTGGCCGCTTTGGCATTAGCTACTACGTTTATTAGGGTTCTCTCATATCATGTACTTACTATCAAATATTCTTTTAATTCTGTTATTGCTATTATGCTATTTTTCAGTGTGTTGCCTGGAAATTTTAGTCAATAAAATGTGTTGATATACATTCTCCCAGTTTAAAGGAATGTGTGTGATGGTTACTATTTAAGAGACTAGGTGTATTAAATTATATGACTAGTAGGTAAGAGTAGATCTACAAAAGAGATCAGAGATCTGCCCTCAAGTGAATAAGAGGAAATAAAAGTGTCCAAAGAGGGGATAGAAGGCAAGGGAAGTATCTAAACATTTGAAAAGGCTGACCAAGGAGAAGAAATGATACACCTTTTTAAAGTTTAATGATACAGAGTGTGACCACCAAAAGTCATTCTTCTTTTGATTTCTGGCCAAGCTTTCCACTTATGGAAGTTGAATTTCCTAATTATAAAGATACTCATATCCCATATGAGCAAAAACATATACTTAACCTTCAATATTTTCCACTCCCCATGGTGGATACTACCAGTGAAATTCTCACACATATTTACTTCTCACATATTTACTTCTTTTTTGTTTGATAGGAGATGTTTAATATAAGTAGCTCGACTTCAAGATTTGTTTGTGCAAATTAATTTATATAGTGGCTTAAGGCAATTTTATCCTGTCTATTCTTTTTTATGCACAATTATCTTTTGAGATATAAATGACTGCCAATCACTTGTTCATTACTAATTTTTATCACTGCAACTAAAAACAAATACACACAATGGGTGAACTGGACCAGCACATTTTATACATCATTGTGTAGAGCTTTAAGAATCAATTTAAATAAAGATAATAGAGCAAAAAAAATTAAAACAAGATACTGCAACTAAATGGCCTAGTACATACTAAATATATCAAATTCTAAAGGATTATACATTTAAAGTGAGTTGTAAAGGACATTATAGTTTACTTAGTCAAATTTCTCCATTTTACATACAATGAAACTGGAGACTAAAGGGATTATTTATATAAGCATGCCCAAGTGACCACAAACAGTAATTAGAAGAGTTGGGATTCAGACTTAGATTCTCTGACTATAGCACACTTTCAATTATATCCTAGATTTGGTCCTCAAATACTATAATAATGTGTAATATATTTTTTTTGTAGGGAGGGGTTCTTTTACCTGCTTGATCTTTGAATATTTTTGAGATGACGACAGGTACCTTGTGTTCAGCACCTCCCTGGAAAACACATTAACCAAAATGAAACAGTAACTCACATTGTTTGCCATTCACATGCTTAATTTAAGAAGAACATAAGAGAAATGGAGGAAAAAAAATCATACCTTAATACTTAGGCCCAAGCCCCCGACAGGTTGTCTGCGAAGTGTAACAGTTCTGTGCTTTAAAAAATTGTAGAAAAAATAAATTTAGTTTAAAATATAGCACTACAGTATAGATACATGATATGTGTATGCAGTGTGACTATATATGTATAGACAAATTTGAAGATAATAAAACTAGTGACATGTAACTATTTAGGAATGTGCCACCTAGAAAAAATATCCTAACAACTTTCATTGACTTTTCTTCACCAGTTAACCTATCATGACATCTCTCTTCTCTCTGTTGCCAAACACCTTGAGTTATCTTTTCCTACTTGTTAACCATCCAATTGCTCCTTCAAACCCTACAATCTGATTGTAGTTACTATAATCTTAGTTAAACTATTCTCCATAAAGTTACTGGTGATTTAATTGCCAAATACAATAGACTTTTTTGTAGTCTTCATTTTTGTTTTTTGGATCTATGTAGCTTATGAGACTGTTGGTCTCACATCCTAATGAATTCTCTCTCCCATCTCAGACTCTAGTTCTTTGATGTTTCTAGCTTTTCCTTCTCTGTTTACTTTGTTAGCTACTTAGTCCATTCCAAAATCCATAATGTAAGTGGTCAGTCCTTAGTCACATTCTCTTCTCTCTCTACATGAGGAGTTCTTAACACTTTTGCACCATGGACATGCTTAGTAATCTGGTGAAACTTACAGACCCAATCTCAAAATGTTTTTAAATACATAAAATAAAATCTATAAGATTACAAAGGAAATCAATTAGTTATCAAAATATTTTGAAAAAACATATACATAAAAGTTCATACCAAGTTAAGAATGCCTACTCTACAATAAAGCACAACAATTATAATTTTGAAAGAGTTCTTATACCTACTGTCCATACCTTTTCTTTCTCCTCTATCCCTATCACAGTAATGATGATCACTCAGTACAGAATGCCTGCCTCTAACATGTCCTTACCTTATACTCCCTTATAAACTTCAACTTCCCTATTATCAGCCTTTAAAGGAGATAAATAAAGTCACTAACATGTTTACAAAATATGAGGAAACACAGTATGAGTGAAGGTATGAGGACCTCTCCTCTGAGATAAGTGCAAACGTTTTATTTCCTGGAATCAGTTGCTCAGTTAACTCTCTTTGACTTCCAAGTTCTTCACAGGTGAGACTGTCAGTTAAGGAAATTGTACATTGATGAGATGTTCTATCTTTTGACTAAATCTGAAAATTATTGATATCATTCTCCAAGTGAAGTTGTCTTTGGAATTTTAAACTAGTATCAGTAGTAAACAGTAGTATCAACTTCACAATAATAACACTATCAACATGAGGAAGTAACTACATAGTCTCAGGGAAAAATGTCATCAGTCTGTGGTCACCTGCTGGTAATTAAATTTTCAAGGTGGACAATTATAGGGAGCATGTGTATATGTAAGGCATACTAGTTTCTCTTGGACTGGTGATGTGATGGCACTATATAGTTCTGATGGCACTTAATGACCAAGAAAAGCCTTACAGTTTGTATCATGGTGTATATTTACATATTGTTTAATAGTTTGAGAAGTGTTTTTGTCTTCCCAAATAAAGACTACACATTTATCAAAATCATGCATGTGGAGTTCAAAAATTATAGTATAATAAGATCCTTGAGGGCAAGTATCATTTCATTTTTGTATTTTTGTCCCTAGCATAAAGCACAGTCCCTTATATACAATAAGTGATGAATAAATGCTTCCCTGAATTGAATTGATTTGAAAATCTCAAAGACAAAGCTCACAGAACCAACTTATTCCACTTTGGGACAGCAGTAACTGATAGGAAATTACATTTTTCCCCTTTGAAATGAATCTACTTTTCTGTGATTTCCATCCATTATGCCTACCTCTCCTATCTGGGGTCAAATGAAAGAAATATAATCCTTTTCATCATTATATTCCTTCAAAAACTATGATGTTTCGTCTAAGTCTCTCTCTAAGCCTACTCTTCTCCAAGCTAGTTAGTGTTGTCTCAAAGTGGAATAGGTTGTTTCTGCAGGTAGTGGATTTCCCCAATTGGTGAGTTTTATGCAGAGCCCAAATGGTTATTTTTTAGCAGTGTTAGAGAGAGAACTCCTGGTTATATTTGGCTTCTGCACTCTGTTCCAACTTTTAGACTCTGTGAGCTCTGTGTCTTTGAGACTTTCAAATCAGTTCAATTAAAGGAAGCATTTATTAAGCATAGAGAATTTTTCCAGTGTCCTATGGCCCTTTCTCTAGGTCTTCTAATAGTTTGTGAAAATAAGTGTAGCCTTTGTGTTTCTCCATTTGTTATCCATCATTATCACAGCATGGACAGCCCACCACAGTTCTCAGATGATTTTTTTTATTCTAGTCATTGAAATATTGATAATAGGCTATAGTCAACTTATGCCTACCATACATTTCTCCATTTACTCTTTGTAAATTTTGGTTTTATGAACACTACAGTGTTTTTACTACTGGTAATTAAATAGCATCCCAGGAATAAAGTCTGTGCAGGGAGCAGGGAATGAGCTTCTCATTGAAAATACTGCACAATTTTCCAAATGAAATCCAAGATGAAAGCTATTAATTCACTAAGTGTTGTATAACTAAATTCATTCAATAAATATTCTATATTAAACATACTCTAGGAATATTGATATAGAAATAAAACATTGGTAAATATCCTTGGCTGTTAAAATTAATAATGTGAAATTATTGCCACCTAGAGATTTCAGACAGGGCTTCCTCTATAAACAAGACTTAATTTTAGGAAGATGAGGAAAAACATGTTCACTTACTTGGTCTTTGTTGTTGTTTTTAGTTTTGAGATGTTTTAATTTACTGGTATTAGTTATTTTTTCTTTCTTCTCTATATTCCTGTGCCTCATCTGAACATAAATCATCTGAACACAATTAAGATTTGAAGATATGAAATGCCAACAAAAATTTTTTAGGGAATTAATCCCAGATCCTACATGAATTATCCAAAAATTCCACTGGAACTGAATCCAGTTTTTTGCTCACAAATTTTTGAGACAAAACCTTTATGAAAATGCTAGCCATCCATGGAGTATGATATTCCAGAGGGCAAAGGAGATAGGATTGCAACATAGAATCACCTACCCAGCAAAGGATTACAACCTAGAATCACCTACCCAGCAAAACTGAGTATAATCCTTCAGGGTAAAAAAATGGTCATTCAATGAAATAGGGGACTTTCAAGCATTCCCATGGAAAAGACCAGAGCTGAATAGAAAATTTGACTTTCAAATACAAATAACCTTCAAATACAAGTGAAACATGGAAGAGGTAAACAGGAAAGAGAAATCATAAGAGACTTATTAAAGTTGAACTGTTTATATTCCTGCAGGGAAAGATGATATTTGTAACTCATGAGTCTTTTGTCAGTATTAGAGTAGTAGGAAAGAAAAAATTGTATGTATGTATAGATAGATAGATAGAGGGCACAGGAGGAGTTGAAGATGAAGGGGTGTTATCTGGAAAATAAAATTAAGGGGTGACAGAGGATTATACTGGGAGAAGGAGAAAGGGAGAAGTAGAATGAGGTAAAATATTTCATGTGAAACAGACAAGAAAAGGCTTTTACAGTGGAATTGGGAGAAGATGAGAGGGAATGAGTGAATCTTATTCTCATAGGATTTGGCTTAAGGAGGGAAAACATACACAATGGGGTATGGAAATCTATTTTACCCTACAGGAAAATAAGGGGGGAAGGGTAAAAGAGAGCAGGGGGTTGATAGAGGGAAGGGCAGATTGGGGGAGGGGATGATCAAAAGCAAACACTTCAGAGAACAGACAGGGTCAAAGAAGAGAATAGAATAAATGAGGGGTGGGATAGAATGAAAGGAAATATACTTAGTTTTTCATAACATGACTACTATGGAAGTGTTTTCATGACTACATATCTATAACCTGTATTGAGATGCTTGCCTTTTTAATGAGGGTGGGTGGGGAGGGAGGAAGGGAGAAAATTTGTAACCCACAGTTTTAAAAACACATGTTAAAAAGAAAAAAAAGAAAGAAAAAGAAAATGCTAGCCATCACTCAATTGAAAACTACATTTTTACATTTTATGCATATACATATATATGCCCTCCTAATATTATTATTAAAGGGTACTGTATCATTCCTTTATCTGTGGACTATGAATGCTGTGAAGTGGAGCTGGTTTTCAAAAGGCAGATCACATTCTCATCCTCAATATATCTTTCATCTGACAGAAAAATATCTATGGGACACCTGTGAGATTTCTTACTTTGCAACTCAGTGTATTAGTTCTCAATCTTTGAATTGACTTCTTACCTGTCTTATATTATTCTGTCATGTATCTTATTTCCACAAATGTAAAATTTGGCCATAACAGTATAGTTGAAATCTCTCATATCTAAACTCAATTTCAAATTGATTACTGATAGGCAGATTGCATTGCTGAAAAAATCCATTTAAGTTTACAAATAAAAATGGTTATTTTTGTGCAATTATGCAGGCTATCATTTTTCAGTACTACCTGAAGTATCAGAAATCCTACTGTTTCATGGATTTCAGATCAACAGTTTGTACACTTGATGTCTCTGATAACACTGTGTCTTCTCCCACTCCCAATCTATGGTTGCTGTGGGGACTAAAGACTAGCCTAAATCTGCATAAACAAATGGTAAACAATATTAGTACCTGATTACCTAATTAAAGCTTTTTTCTCCAGTGTAATCAGAAAACTTAAAAGAAGGAAAAGTTTACTGAGTTAGTAGGGAAAGCCCTCCACTGGGGAAGGTTATCCTTTTAACTCCCCCTTACTGATTCTCTATCTCCACTCACTTTAGCAACTCAGCAAGAATTTTCTTCCCTCTTCAATCTTTCCACAGCACCCCCTCACTTCTTAGTTCAGGATTACAGGTCAGACTTCATGGAGAAAATTGAACTTTGAACTTGCTTAGAACTCTATCTTCTCCCCTTCTCATTTCCAGACCCCTTCATATTAGCCCCTGATATCTCTTCATTTTTTTTTTCAGGCTCTGAAGAAGAGATGGGTT